GGTTCGGTCTCAGTGGAAACATGCACCCCGCAGAGTTCGCAGGAAGCTGCCAACAGCTCAACTGCTGCTGGAGCAGATCCACTGCAGATCATCTGAGGACACACACCTGGTCCATCAACACGGGAAGTTCCTAGAAACCAGAGAGACGCATCATTTCATCTTAAAAACGTCTGCAGGCAAACTCAGCTCAGTGAACACACTCTGAGTTTTCTCTTCACAAAGCCAGCAGTGTGTGTGTAACCACAGCCTGAGATATCTTCATCGTAGGCGAAACTAAGTGGTTCAGGTGTGACAGCCGGCGCCAAGCTGTGTTGATCTAACTTTCCTCAACCAGTGTGAGTACGAGGAACAAACACAAGATCCACAGTGAGGTCACATGCAGTCGTAACATCAGACTGTTCTCACAAACTGTTCGTATGTTTGTCTACAAAAAGCAAACATATCAATTCAATTTTCAATTTTATTAATAAAGCCCAATATCACAAATCACAATTTGCCTCACAGGGCTTTACAGCATACGACATCCCTCTGTCCTTATGACCCTCACAGCTGATCAGGAAAAACTCCCCAAAAAAACCCTTTAACGGGGAAAAAAAACGGTAGAAACCTCAGGAAGAGCAACTGAGGAGGGATCCCTCTTCCAGGACGGACAGACGTGCAATAGATGTCGTACAGAACAGATCAGCATGATAAATTAACAGTAATCCATATGACACAATGAGACAGAGAGAGAGACAGAGAGAGAGAGAGAGAGAGACAGAGAGAGAGAGAGAGATGCAGGTAATGACAGTAGGTTACAACAACATTAATGAAAGTAATAATATTATAGTTATAGTTCTGGCTACTGTGGTACAATATGTTGAAAGTATGTATTAATATCTGGCAGTATACATGTGTGACAATAGTCATATGTGTATAATAACAGTAGAAGTATGACTAATGACTAATGACATATCCCACATAAGAGGCTGTGATCATGTGACCAATGAGCTGACGGCAGTAAACAGGAAGCAGTCCTGAGCGCCTGTAAGGAGGCAGGTTGGGGTGGTGGATGGGACTTTCCCCTGGAGTCACGTGATCAGATCTGTGTGAGTCATGTTAAGGTTCGTCCTCACCGTGTTTCTGTTCCTAAAGCTAACCTCTGTAACAATTTCGTAGGCTATCACACAAACTGTTCTTTGAGAATATGTCTGACTCAGTGACAAAGAATCTTTCTGTTCCAGCAGTGACAACATCTGTCTACACTGTAGAGCGTCCCCAAAACAGGAAGACGCACTGATCAAACAGAGTCTGACAATAAACTGAATTAAACAAGAGCCAGTATCAGTGAAGAGTTTCAGAGATGGAGAGAAAATGTTGCTATTAATTTAACCTTCTGCTAACTTGAGCTGAAGACTCATGTTTATGTAGCTAACGTTAGCTAGAGCCTCCAATCCCAGTGTGTCCTCCGCCTCACTCTCCACCACCACAGACCACCTCGCTGGGAGGAGAGCAGGTAGCAGCTCCAGAGACTGACCTCCAGTCAAATCAAACCCCAGCTTTGAGGGACCAGACAGCCCCGTCTCCCCACCAGATCAGCAAACTTTCTGTTGCTGCTGTTACACAGGTTAGACCTGACACTGCTGCTGGACACCAGCTTACTGTGACACCTGGCACTGGAGGGTTTGAGCTGGCTGAATTTGAGCCGAAGCTGTGGCTGACAGTGGCAGGGAGTGAAGTGGAGGGAGCGTGGGGTGTTCTTGCAGCTAATTCTTGTCTCATCTGAGGTCTGATAATCTGACAGAGAGCAGGGCGACGAGGAGCTGAGAGAATGAAATACCATGAAATAAATGTATGTAAGGAAAAATTACTGTATGTCCATAAGGCTGTGGTTATCTGGTGGGAGGGGCTTAGGACAGAGAGGGAGGAGTTTCGGGGGCGGGGGATTTCTTAAAAATTTTATTTTTTTTTAAATCATTTTATAAATACTGACATTCTTTTTTACCCTTTTCAGATTTCTGCCTCCCTCTGCTTTAAGTACAGTTTATAGGTACTTGTATTTCAACTTGAAATATATAGAACGGTGTGTATGATATCCTACATATCTGCGTCCCACAAATTACATCACGTCCTTAACGTGCAGTTACATGATTACTGTAAAGTTCCAGAGGTTAGGTTTCGGAACAAAAACGCAGTGAGGACGAACCTTAACATGACTCACACAGATCTGATCATGTGACTCCAGGGGAAAGTCCTGGACGAAAGTCATCTTACTGCCGTCAGCACATTGGTCACATGATCACAGCCTTTAAAAACATGTGGGATATGAACCAACTTGGGTGTAAAGCTTTTCATAGGACAACATTTTTGAGAACAGCCTGATGTATTAGAGTATTTCAGTAGAGGGAGGAGCGTCCTTCTTATTGGCAGCTTCAGTTTGGAGTTCATTTTCAAATTAAAATTTTGAAAACAAAACATTTTAGTTTCTCTGTTAAACTATTAAACTAAGCAGTCGTACATAAAGTGAACTTCAGATGATCCTCAGATTGATGAGAGACACAGAGTGAGTCCATGTACAGAGGTGTAGTCAGCGTGTGCCCTGATGTTTGATGGTGATTATCCACACTGAGTGTTTCTATGTGGGCTGTAACATGCATGATTAAACCACAGGACAGTCACAGTCACATGGAGAGAACATACGGACCCAGCCTGCTGGGAACTAACATACGAGCTCATTAAAAACTCCTGAAATTTATTTGATGTCTCAGGAGTGTGAGTCAGCACCTCGTCGTCAAACACCTCTGATATGAACACACATGGTGAGACATGTGGAGGGAAATGAAACACACAGTGGGTCAAAGATCATGTGGTCGACCCCTCGGTGGAGGCCCCCCCTTGTCTTCTTCTGCGGTGGTGGTGGTGACCGTCGGCCCTCGGGTCTCTCGGAGTTCTCTGGCTGGAGTTCAGTTAAAATAACTGCAGATCTGTGAAGAATAAACACTCGCTCGTTCTGTCCTCTGATAAACTGACGGCAGCTGTTCATGGAGTCACAACCAGGTGTCTCTGATAATCCAACAATAAAACAGGACAAGATTTATTTGCATGTTTTTCTGCCAGAGGATCGGATTAGTTTTATTAATACGGTCACAGAGTGTCTGTTAATATTCACAGAGAAATATTTCTCTGTCAGGCCTGAGACAGGAGGCAGAGGATCCTGTTTCTGCACTGAGGAGTTAAATAATTGTTACTGCAACGTCATTGTAAGGATGTCTTGTAAACCCATGAGGGCTGGGCACATGCAAGTGTGCATGACATGACACAAATGAAATCAATCAATCAATCAATCAATCAATCATACTAAAATGCACCGAGTAACATAACTGTTACCACCTGCATCTTGCAGGTAAATAACTTGTATACAGTGCTTAATTTGTAAAATTAGAAGTAGGGGAACACTTTGGGCCTCTGAGAGAGCAGTGTTCCCCTACTTCCAAAAGTGGGGGAACACTTTTTTAAGCGATACCACAGCTAAAATGAGGCAGATGTGCCTTTTGTCATTTATGAAAAGATAAATCACTTTTCTATAATACATCAATGATATTTCAATGGAATAAATTACTTATTGACTTATTCATACTTCAAAAACAGCATCAATTAGTGATTAACATAGGGGGGATCAAAATAAAATAAATAAATAAAATAAAAATCATCCAGCCACCCTCCTCCCCTGACAAGTAAAGAACAGTCCCTTCATAAGTAAAGAACAGTCCCTAAAGTGCGGTGAGGTTTGTGGACCGTTACCTGCCACAAAGAGAGAAATGTGAACGGCTCGTTTCTCCTCTGACACGCCACATACCTGTGTGCCGCCACTGCTCGGTTGTCCAGGTACTTTTGGGCAGTCATGACACCAAGAAGAGGAAATTATTAGACCTGGAGCCGGACTTCACTGTCGCCGGTAAGCCGTTATCTTGCGCCGCGGAGCCGCCGTAGGCTATTTGACCACCGTATTCCTGTCTGTGACCCCCGTTAAACCACAACCGGCAGGATTCGCCTTTCGTTTCTGCTGCTGGTTGAAATCTGTAGGCCTACTCACACAACGTGCTGAATGATTTATTTTGCTGGCACAAAACTATTTTTAGTCGTAAATGTGAGTAAAATGCTTGCACGTAGAGCTCTGTGGAAAACAAATCACTGCTGACAAGTAAAAAGAATTAAATAATAACTTTCACTGCTCAAAGATACTCACATGTCTGGAAAACAAACCACTACAGCAGCATATTGAGTGCCAGGTGGCCAGCGCGTGCCGTTATTGAACGGTGCATGGACACTCACCCTCTTGCGAATGGACTTTGAACTTATCCCACAGTAGTGGTACGTGAGGCACCGTAGTACTACGGTACTCCACCCTGCAACACCAGTGACATCAGCCAATACTGTATGTAGACCCATGCAAATTAGTTCCGGAACGCACCAGGGCCTTTTCTGAAAAGATACTGGTATGCATTCCAGTACATTCCGGCTCAAATTAAGCACTGCTTGTATATATCTTGTCTTAATACTCTGATGAGGTCATCTGTGAGAGTTTGAACTGGATGGTTTCAATGGTTTTCAGTGACACAGCAAACTAACGCCACCATGACGCCTCATCAGTTCGGTCTGTACAGTAAATGCTGTCACTGTGCCTTCCTGCAAAGTGTGGATACGTAACATACGTTTCTACAGTGACGTAGTATCTGAGCTAACTGTGACATCAGCAGGTGGAGGGGATGGAGGATGGTGTGACATCAGCAGGTGGAGGGGATGGAGGATGGTGTGACATGGATGTGAGTCGTATGTTTTCTGGTGAGGCTGTGAGAAGTTTTACCTTTTTTTGTGTTATTATTTTTATGTTTCAAAAAATAATTGAAATCCTGTCAAATCACTTTTTTTCCTTTGTGTCTTTTTCTTCATTAAAACATCAGTGTATATATTTGTTCAAGTGTTGTCTGCACCTCAATAAAACACACATATATATATTTATATATCAGAGGAAGCAAAGTCTGAAAAAGTCGACTTTATTTCTATCAAAGAACGAACCAAGTGAACATTTTACATCACACGTGTGTTGCTGTTTTTTTGAGTCATTTTTACATTGTTTTAATATAAAATTCACAGTTTAAGTGATGATACATGAAAAGACACCATAAATAGTTTGATTCAAAAAGAAAAACAAACAGAAACATTAATAACGTTGGAGGAGGCGAATCAGACCTCAGAAACACACTGAACTCAACATGTGCATACAAGTGCAAATATATTCCACTGTCTAACGTCGTTGTTGTTGCTGTTGTTGTTGTTGTTGCTGTTGTTGTTGTTGAGACTTTATGACGGATTTATCTGAACCACAGCGAACAGACCTGCTGGATTCGTCACAGCTGGAAACATCACTGCTTTATTAATGGGAGTAATTAAAAACACGACAGGAGGCGACGCAACATCCAGAGATCCTCGACATGAACTCAGAGACACAGAAACTAAACACAGCTGGATGATGTGCTGCTCTCTGCAGAAGAACTTTATTCTGAAGAGTAAAAAAAACTAAAATGTATTTTTGATTTAAAAAACTTGCAGCAGAAGGAATAAACGAGAGACTCTGCTCATTAACTCCCTCCTCTTCTGAAAATCAAACACAGACACCAGATTTTAGTTTTCTGAGTACAAAACAAACAAAAGCTGAATGTGAGCTTTTATTTTGAAATTATTCTGGTTCCTGTTCCTCTGAAGTTAATAAATCCTTTGAATATAAATGTATTAATCTTCCTGTATGATCAGAGATGTCAGTATAAAATCTGACAGACAGAGGCGTCACCACAGCAGAATGTTTCATTGAGCACGCTCGTTTCGAGGCTCCTGACGCACCACACGGATGGAGTTAGTGCTCATTTTAAGATGGTCAAATATCTCAAAAAAGATCCAGCTGATGAGGCGTTATCAATCAATCTACCAATGATTTTGATTGGTCACCCTTTGAACTGCTAAAGGGCAGAAAATGCTGAGTTAATTTGGAATTTCTTCTAATTTAATTCTGACTTTCTGTTGATTTAATCTGGACTTTACCCTGATTTAGTCCTGATTTTACCTTGATGTAATCCTGACTTTATCCTGATTTAATCCTGACTTTATCCTGACTTTATCCTGATTAAATCCTGACTTTATCCTGATTTAATCCTGACTTTCTCATGACTTTACCCTGATTTAGTCCTGATTTTACCTTGATTTAATCCTGACTTTAGCCTGATTTTATCCTGACTTTATCCTGATTAAATCCTGACTTTATCCTGATTTAATCCTGACTTTCTCATGACTTTACCCTGATTTAGTCCTGATTTTACCTTGATTTAATCCTGACTTTATCCTGATTTTATCCTGACTTTATCCTGATTAAATCCTGACTTTATCCTGATTTAATCCTGACTTTCTCATGACTTTACCCTGATTTAGTCCTGATTTTACCTTGATTTAATCCTGACTTTATCCTGATTTTATCCTGACTTTCTTTTGACTTTACCCTGATTTACTCCTAATTTTACCTTGATTTAATCCTGACTTTATCCTGATTAAATCCTGACTTTATCCTGATTTAATCCTGACTTTATCCTGATTAAATCCTGATTTTATCCTGATTTAATCCTGACTTCCTCTTGACTTTATCCTGACTTTATCTTGATTTAATACTGACTTAATCCTGCTTTAATTCAGATTTAATCTGAGCATATCTGGATTAAATCCCAAATTTGTCTTTATTAAATCCAGATTTAGTCTTGACTTTATTCAGATTAAATCCCAATTTAAACTTCATTTAATCCAAATTCTATCCTCTCTTAATCCTGACTTTATCCTGATTTAATCTGATTGTATCTCAATTTAAGCGTGACTGTTTGAGTGACTAATTAATCTAATGTCACGTATTTATTGATTTATAGTCGTTGATCTCAAACGTGTTCTGTTTCCTTCAAGAAAAACGTCCTCACCTTGTATTTAGCGTTATGCTAACAGCTAATACTAAACGTTTACATCTTGACATCATGTGTTTCTTCTTCCTCTGCTCCCTTTTGTGGTCGTGACAGATCTAATCTAAAATCAAATTAAGACCTCCAGAATAAATGTTGTTCTCTTTGCCATAGCTTGTCTTTGTTGAGATGTGAGGACGCGATGACATCATCAGAGCATCTACATGGTCGCCTGTCAGAACCAGCTGCTGATCTCTGCTGTGGCTCTGTCCTCTGTGTGATGAAGGCACATGAAGTCAGTGTGAGGTCAGAGCGGCTGATCTCGCTGACGGAGGTGAAGTGTTCTCTTATCGACCTGTGGCTACACTGCTACCTCTACCAGACCCCTCCCCCTGAATGTCCACAGGGGGGCGCCGCAGGGCCAGATAACACAGAAACAAACAGAAACCATTTGGTGTGTCTCTATGATCCTTTCAACAGTTAAAAACAACACATAGAAAAGCACAGGAAACAGCTCTATGAGTGCGTTACAGAAATGGTCCTCTATCTGCAGGTGGTTTTGTCACCTACTGTCTCGCCGCTACTTTCTCCTCATTGTTGTTGTTGTTGTTGTTGTGGAGACTCAGGTTCAGGTCGAAGCCTGACTGCTTCCTCAAAGCGCGCGGCATCAAAGTCTTTTTCACAAACAGTTTCTGGAGGAAGCGGTTGCTGATGCTGAAGGGGCAGAAGCTGTGGATGAAGTACATGAGGCCGACGCCGGGCCCCGCAAAGTAGCGCACCTGTGGCTGCGGGGACAGCAGCGCCTGGACGATGGCGTCTGTGACGGGGCTGAGGTCGGGGTTGGCCTGGCTGGCGTGGCTCTGGAACAGCTCCTTGGTCTCGTTCAGGTAGTCCTCGCCGTACTCCTCGAGCAGCGCCGGTGACAGATTCTGCAGCAGCTGCTTGTGCTGCTGCTCCCAGTAGGCGTGGTTAGTGGACTGACCTGCAGGGGATGACAGAGTTCAGGTTTACCACGGCAACAACCACTGCACACTGACTGTAAACACCACATGACTGCTGCTGTCAAATGAGTGAGAGATGTTCCAGTGTTAAAGTCCAGTGTTAAAGTATGTGTGCCGTTGTACTGAGGTGATAATGTACTGAGGTGATGATGTACTGAGGTGATGATGTACTGAGGTGATAATGTACTGAGGTGATGATGTACTGAGGTGATGATGTACTGAGGTGATAATGTACTGAGGTGATGATGTACTGAGGTGATGATGTACTGAGGTGATAATGTACTGAGGTGATAATGTACTGAGGTGATGATGTACTGAGGTGATGATGTACTGAGGTGATAATGTACTGAGGTGATAATGTACTGAGGTGATGATGTACTGAGGTGATGATGTACTGAGGTGATAATGTACTGAGGTGATAATGTACTGAGGTGATGATGTACTGAGGTGATGATGTACTGAGGTGATAATGTACTGAGGTGATAATGTACTGAGGTGATGATGTACTGAGGTGATGATGTACTGAGGTGATAATGTACTGAGGTGATAATGTACTGAGGTGATGATGTACTGAGGTGATGATGTACTGAGGTGATAATGTACTGAGGTGATAATGTACTGAGGTGATGATGTACTGAGGTGATGATGTACTGAGGTGATAATGTACTGAGGTGATAATGTACTGAGGTGATGATGTACTGAGGTGATGATGTACTCAGGTGATAATGTACTGAGGTGATAATGTACTGAGGTGATGATGTACTGAGGTGAAGATGTACAGTGATGATGAGATGACAACGTAATGAAGTTTAAAAAGATTTAAAGCATAGTTGTTAAATGAAGAAATGAAGAGCGTTACATGTAAACGTGAAGATAAAGATCATTAAAAAAATAAATGAGAGCTCTGAAACGTTGTCGTGTGCTGAGTGTGAGCGCCGTGAGAGGAACTCCCTCAGACCATCTGTTGGTTGTCTGTAGTTTCACACTGACACAGTTCACTGTCATGTTTCTGTGCGGCTGCAGCAGGACGCTGTCAATGTGGACAAACATGTTGTATCTGTGTGAGTCAGCACAAGCCAGCGTTGGTTTCACAGAGTGGGTGCTGAACAGGATGGCAACACAAAGTGTGGATAAAGTTCATCCACCCAGTGGGCGGAGCGCCAACCTGAGCTGCAGAGTAACAGCAGGATTAGACTTTAAATACAAACCTGTTCCTACAGGATTAAAGTGAGATCAGCAGGATAAAGTGTGCCCAGCTCGCTGTTTACATCACACACACACACACACACACCTGGTTATCTCAACACGTCTGTGTGTATCTGCACACACACACACACAAAACCAGAGAGTAAAGAGGAGCAACAGACCCATCATCATCATCTTCCTCCTGCTGCTCCTCTTTAATCACATCCATCCTGCAGGAAGCTCACACTCTACAGTCAGCACTTTGTCCTGAGTGCGTGTGCGTGTGCGTGTGTGTGTGTGTGTGTGCGCGTGTGTGTGTGTGTGTGAACAGATGGCCCGGCCCACATGTGGTCCTCATTAGGACAGTATTCTCCTCAGCAGGAGTCCGATCATCATGTTCATCATGAGGCCAAACCACAACAGGAAGAGCAGCGCCGCTACTCCTGACCAATCAGGAGCCAGAACCATCAACACCTCACCTCAACCTGTGTGATGGTATAGAGGTGGAGGTGCAGTGGGTGGTGGTACAGAAGGTGATTGAGTGGATGGTGCAGCAGGTGGTGGTGCAGCAGGTGTAGTTACCTGTCATGAAGGCGGAGGGCAGGATGGTGCAGTGTGAGTGGGTGGTGCAGCAGGTGTAGTTACCTGTCATGAAGGCGGAGGGCAGGATGGTGCAGTGTGAGTGGGTGGTGTAGCAGGTGGTGCAGTGTGTGGTGCAGCAGGTGTAGTTACCTGTCTTGAAGGCGGAGGGCAGGATGGTGGAGACGTGGACGCCCCACGGCTGCAGCTCGTGTCTCAGAGTGTTGATGAAAAGATTGAGAGCTGCTTTAGACGCTCCGTACGCCGCCAGGCAGGGGAAGGGCTGGTCACCTGAAATACAGGTATGACATCATCATCATGACATCACACACACCTGGACCAATGAGCAGGGTGTGAACCTCAGGTGACCTCAGTGTCTGTAGATTCAGTTCATCACAGAGGCTCATAAAGAAACCTAGAACATAAACATACAGAAGTGAAATGTTTACTGATGTCACAGTGATGTCACAGTGATTTGGTTCATACAGATACCAGCATGTATGCTGTTCTTGCCATCACCATGGAAACGTGGTGGCTCAACATCATAAACTTCACTTGCTTTGACTCAAAGATCAGAAAACCTTTCTCAGTCTGCAGGACGAATACCCATGATGCATTTCTGTTCTGTAGTCCCTGTACAGGTGTGTCAGGCAGGAAGCACAAAGATCTAATGCTCAGTCATGTGACCTTTTAGTGTTGTGACACACTTTAGGTCGCTGTGCAGAGGATTGTGGGAGCTGCTGCTGTCAGCCGCAGCGTGACGTCATTATTATCAGAGGACGCCATGCTCACAGCTGTTCGTGTTTCTGTGTCTCTGAGGCTCCAAACGTCAGGTCCACTTACTCTGGAGCTCTCAGCTGGATCTCACTGAACTCATCAGCTCCGCCCACACAGGAAGTCCAGGAGGCGTTCAGGAGAAAAGGTCAAATAAGTCCATTAAAAGCTGTCACATGTGACAGACACGCAGACTGTGAGGTTCCTCTGCTGCTCTTCATCAGATGCTGCTTTACTCCACCCTGACTGCTCTTCATCACTGTTTACAGCACAGTGACTTCAGCTGTTCTTTTATCTCAGACAAAACTGTCACAAACTGACAGGACGGTCACGCCTCCCTAATATCAGCTGACTGACAGATCAGCTGATGAAGACGCGTCACAACCACCAAGGGACAGTTCTGAGGAAGAAACATGTCAAGGTGTGTGACATCACAACATGTCTGAGGTAAAAGAACAACTAAAGTCATTATCAGAAACTAAAGACATAATGAACACCACTGTACTACTGTGATGAAGGCTGAACCTCGTACAGCCAGGAAACAGTCCGGGATCAGCTGGAGGCTCACTGAGGAGGAGGAGGAGGAGGAGGAGGAGGAAGAGGAGGAGGAGGAGCCTCTGATGAATGAATCAGTGAGATAAAGGCGTCTTTGTGTGGAATTACAGGAACAGTCTCACCTGTACAGTCACATGATCAGCTGTAAACATCACACGCAGGATTTGAAAGGGAAATAAATAACAGGAGGAAACAACAGCTCAGAGACTCTTCACCCTCTGCTGCGCTCCTCTTCCTCTAGAGCCTGAAGGAAACTTGAAGACATGACGATTCTGCAGCTGAGTGGACGTTTGTTCTTGATGGACGCTGACTGTGTTTAATGAGTTATACAGAAGAGAAGTAAGGAGAGTTTTGGTGACATCATCAGTCTCTGAAGTGTTTTAGAGAACCTTCATATCTGCTGTTACTCTCAGAGAACAGGCGGTCAGTTTCATTGGTTCATATATCTAAGTTATGAAGTGGTTACTTATTCCAGAATGATTAACTCCGGCTCTGTTGGTCGTGTTTTGGTTCTGTTCTGCAGATTTTGGACGTTGTGAGTTTTCCTCTCGACCGCATGCAGCCTCAAAGTGAAACTCTGCACATTTCATCAGATGGAGCTCCAGCTGAAATCTGCTGAGTGTGTAACTTGTGTCGGGGGGGATGAACCTTTGTGATTGATTTGGTTGAACTCTGATGTTTTGGCGAGATGTCAGTTGGAAACACAGACGGCAGAGAGACGAGCAGCAGCACTATTTGTTTAGTTTGGCAGCTTGAAGGCAGCAGTCAGTTCATCTGTGGTTCAGTTGTTCTGGAACATTCAATTAAGATGTATTACATCATCCATGTGTGTGTGTGTGTGTATGTGTGTGTGTTTGTGGGGCACTCACCAGCAGGGCTGGAGATGGACACGATGCGTCCTTTGGCCTGTCTTAGCAGCGGCAGGAAGCTCTTAGTGACGCTCAGCGTGCCGAAGAAGTTGACCTCCATGCAGCCGCGGAAGTTTGACATCAGCGACAGCTCAGCATCTCCGAAGTTCACACACACGCCGGCGTTGTTCACCAAACCCCACAGACCTGCCGGACACACAGACACACACACAGCAAACATCACAGGTGTGTTTATACAACTGCCACCAGCTGGTCGGTGAAGACCCAGAACAGAGTCTGTTTCCATTTAGGTGTGGACACGCAGTCTGAACTCAGCCCTGTAACATGTACAGGAAATATGTGTCAGTATTTACACAGATGACACACAGCTATACCTCTCTATATACAGTTTATATATCTATATGTGTCTATCAGACTGTTCTCACAAATGTTTCATATGTTTTCCTACAAAAAAGCAATCCACCCAAATTCATACATATGTCATGTATGTTGAAAGGCTGTGATCATGTGACCAATGAGCTGACGCCAGTAAACAGGAAGCAGTAAGGAGTAAGGAGGCAGGTTGGGGTGGAGTCACGTGATCAGATCTGTGTGAACGTTGATACATGTTATGGTTCGTCCTCACCGTGTTTCTGTTCCTAAAGCTAACCTCTGTAACTTCTATCATGTAACTGGACGTTAAGGACGTCACGTCATTCATGGGGTGCAGATTCATAAGATATCATAAAAACTGTTCTATGAGAGTACGTTGATATAAATATGAAGCCCAAACTGCTCTTGGTGACACTGCATGTGAATGATGTTCAGATGAGCAGGTGGGACCTTGTAAAGCTGCCTCAGCAGTACAGCAGCGCTTTGAGTTGTCGGAAAACTACAAAGGAGCTTTACAAATGCAACTTTCACCATATCGTCACTTTGAGAACTGATCTCAGAGCAGATCTGATCTCACAACATTAAAATCGTGCTTCATGTTTTCACATCAGTGCAACAGTAATGATCCATCAGTCGTTTGGGGAGGAGTCAACCATACGTTCTGACACTAGTAGTTTAAGTGCATGTCACAGTAGTTTGCTGATAGTTCAACTACCTTCATGTCTACACTGTGATTCAAGCAGTTAAATTACTTTTTTTTTTTAATCATTTTTTAACCCAGTCAGCAGAATAAATACCGTCACTGTACGTGTCCACAGACACCTGGTACATTGCATTTATTATGAAACAAAGTGGCTCCCACCTGGTCCAGATTCACAAAGTTTAATACACTCAGCGTCATACTTGTGTTTGGCCACAAAGTTTGCTGTCTCTGTTAAGTAACTGTCCATTAGTCGCTCACTCCACAGCAGGAAACAACACTTCAAAATAAAAGCTCTGAGCTGGGCATTCACTGTACTTAAAACAAACAACAAACTCAACATGTCTGTGAGTCACTTGCGATCCATTCAGAATCATGTAGAACCACTGCAGATCTGTTTAGTTACAAAAACACTTGGTTATGGGTTGGAGAGGATCAGGAGGGGGCTACAGTCCAGCAGGAAATGCAGTGGTGCCAATAAAAAAACAACAGTCTTTCATGGCACAACCCCTGCTGGGAAAACACCCACGACTGGGAGCTAACAGGCAGCTGGAAACACAGTGACCAGTCACTAAAAACATCCGGTGTGTAGTTAGTTGGTGCTGAACAGTGTCTGCAGCTCTGCAGGCGTCTCTCTGAGGTGTCACACCATCCACCGTCCCCTCCACCTCCTGATGACACAGTCAGCTCAGATACTATGACATTTTAGAGATGATGATGATGTGATACATGAACCGTGCAAATGGCGTGTATTTGTGGCTTGAGGAAACGTACAATGACAGCTTGTCCTTGAGGGTTTGGGCTGTACATGTTGTTATAATTTCATCTCACATTGTCAGTTTGATCATTTTTACAAAGTAGTTTAAACTTCTTTTTCTAAGAAGCTTTAATGAACCAAACAAACCCCTCAAATAGGTGTCAGGCACAGACAAAAAAAGCCGTCCTTCGATGCCAGCATGGTACGTAGCCGGGGGCTGTCATTTTGTAACAGCGCCTGGCAGCGTCATGGAGGAAACAGAGCATGACAACAACGAAAGTTAAGGCGGCAGAAGTCCAAGTAAGCCGGGTGGGAGGGGTGGGGGGCGACTTTCACCCGTCAGGTTGGTGTTCACTTCCTGTAAGAACGTAGCGTCAAACCCTCTTAGGACGGACTGAGAATGTGTTGACCTAACTGTATTTGTCCTCAGGGTAACTCTGCTGTAGTTCAGCTTCTCTCAGTGTGAAGTCATCAGTTTGTTGCCAACAGCTCAGTGCATTCTGGGTAAATTCATTTTCCTGATGATCCTTTTAACGGAGTAAATTTAAACTGTGGTCATAAAGCTTAAATCTGCACATGTGCAAACAGTTTGGTGGTTATATATAAGACGTGCAGCATCAGAGATAAGACCGCGATGACAAACAGCACCGACTGCCAACTCACTGAGCTCAGGAGAACAGCACCAGGTCAGCCCCTCTTTGTCTGTTGTGCTGCTGCTGAAAACAAGCCGCGCTCGTCCTTATCTCACACGGCTGACCCAGAATCCTCTGCTTTGTTTTTACGAGCCACCATGGGAGCTTTTTTCTTTTTATCTGAGCTGTTCCAGAGCTGATGAAAGATAACCGGGAAAAGATTATCCAGGCTGGCAGACAGCCAAACACCTGAAGGGCCCGCCCAGGTAACTTCCTGTTTGCAGAGTGGCAGAGCAGCCGTAAATGTCCAGACTGTCGACACGAAGGTTTTACAGGAGTAAAGTTTAAATCACAGAGCAGGAAACAGAAAAATGTCCAGATGGTGAACCTTTCCTGGTCAACATGTGTTGGTATCAGACTGAATAATGACTTTAAGGTTCTCCTGTTTAATGCTCTGGCCCCGTCCTAGATCTCAGACCTTCTAACCTCCTATTCCACGCCCAGGTCCCCCGGGTCAGCTGACCTGGGGGACCTGGCTGTCCCATGCTCCAGTAAAATTGACAAGTTAAGAAAGAATAAGCAATGCAGTGATGGCTCACGATCATATACATTAATAAAGAAAACAATTATGAAGGACAAAAACCACCTCTTTAAATTCAGTCAGATTGACAGAAAAACTGTTTCAGATCTACTCAAGTCACAACCAGACTCCAGTTCCCGTGGTGCAGATAACTTAGAAAGTAAAATGCTCAAACTTGTAGTCAACTCTGTTACCACTCCTATATGCCACATGTTCAATCAATGCCTAAGCTATGGGGTTCATCCAACTATGTGGAAAGAAGCCAAGATTATTCCTCTTGCAAAAGACAAAAACAAAATGTGTAACGGTCCCAACCGGCGGCCAATCAGTATTTTACCATTATTAAGTAAAGTTATTGAAAAAATAGTATTTAAGCAACTGATGGATTACTTCTCTGACTATACTCTACTTTCTAGCTGTCAACATGCTTACAGAGAAAACCATTCAACAGGCACCGCACCTGCACATATGACTGATGACTGGCTAATAGTCATGGATGAAAAGAAATTAGTGGGAGCAGTTATGTTGGATTTCAGTGCGGCATTTGATGTCATCGATCACAGCTTGTTAATTGGCAAGTTAGCGTGCTATGGCCTCTCTCCCACTGCAGCCTCATGGTTCAGGCATTATCTCTCAGGAAGGAAGCAGATAGTCTACTTTAATGGCAGCTATTCAAACTGGAATGCTACAGACTGTGGGGTCCCACAAGGAAGCTGCCTCGGGCCTTTATTATACTCCATTTTCACCAATGATCTGCCTCTGTATGTTAAAAATATCAACACTGTTATGTAAGCAGATGACACTACCTTGTACAGTGCCACCATATCTGAGCAGGCTGTAGCCTGTTCCCTAAGTAATGCTCTAACAGAAGTGAATAAGTGGGTTGAATGCAATAAGTTGGTTTTAAATATCTCCAAGACAAAATCCATTGTGTTTGGAACCTGACATATGTTGGCCAAAAGCCCTCCACTAAAATTAGCAATAAACAACATGAGCGCAGCTACTCCTCTGTCCCACCTCCGTCCCTCCTACCTGCGCAAGTCAGAAAGAGGGAGGAGAGAAGGCGTGGAGTGGGTTTTACACACATCACACCAATCAAATGAGCCCCTCTCCTCGCCCTTAAATGAGCCGCGCGAAGGCGTAATGAGAGTTTACTGAATTCGCCATGGCAGAAGAGAGCAGCAGCGTCAGACGGCCAAACTTCTCCCAGGAGGAAACTGATGTTTTGGTCCGGGAGGTCCAAGCTCGCAGTGTCCGACTATACGGAACTGTGAGCTGACCTCCACGGGCTGATGATGCAAAGGTAGCCTGGGAGGAGGTCACCACAATTGTAAATCAATGTTGCGTTTCTCTCGTGCGCACGTGCTCTCTCTTTCTCTCTGGCAGTCTCACTCTGTTTCTTTTCTTTTGACTTTTCTAAGATGACAGATGCTGAATATATATACTCCCTATCTGATGCTGTGGCTGTTTGTGGTTGGCTGAGAGGGATGTGAACTCAATAGTTTGCAGCTGTGTAATCAAATCAGGTTGGGTTTCCATTACGTGTGCCAAACGTGCCAAACGGTGCCAATCCCCTTTGATCTGACATCAGATGTGACGGGACAGTCGATATAGAGATACATTTATGTGCTGATTGCAGATAGTTGCATTGAATTGTGTTTTTTGGGTATTTATTGCATTGTTAATGTGCCTGATATTCTGGAAACCTGCCTGTGAGGTTTTGGTGACGTGTGTGCACTGTCCGCCGGTCAGCCAAACTTCGGCTTACACCGGCTGCGCTCCCCCTGCGCTGACAGTAGACCTGGTTTCAGCTGGCGAGCTTTTAGCGCACCTTCGGCGAAGCCTTTTGGCACGAAACTGTCACTGCGCCAAGCTGGATCTGTCCACACCTCCCCCTGCTGAGCCGCCACACCCATCTCAGCGCACCTCGGTCTGCCAAACTACCAAACTGAGTGCGCCTCGTGTTGCGCTGCTTGAAACTAGCTCTGTGCGGGGTTTGCCACCCTGCGCCACCCTGCGCTGCGCAGCGCTCTATAGAGCTCTATAGAGCCCCATAAGTCAACACAATGAAACGTTTAGGTGTAACCACTGACAGCTCACTATCCTGGTCAAATCATATAAATAATATTGTCACTGAAATGGGTAAAGGAACCAGTATGACCAGAAAGTGTTTTACATTCATTACTCCCTCAATAATCAGATCAGTTATTCATTCTGTGGTTCTGTCTCATCTAGAGTACTTCTCTGTAACTTGGCCCTCAGCTGAGAAGATTGCAGGTTGCTCAGAATAAGGCGGCTCATCTAGTTCTTCATTGTTCATACAAAACAAGCGCAGACTATCTGCACACACACACAGCTGGTGTGGCTGACAGTAGAACAGAAAATATATTTACATCTGTTAATGCTACTGTGGAGCATTATTAGCACCAAATATCCATCAGACTTGGCTCATCAGATACATATGATCTCCGTGCATGGTTACAGTACAACAAGTGCTGCCTCCGGTCATATATTGCTCCCAGCTCCAAAAACTAACTCTCATAAGCTTAATGTCATATATAGATCAATAGTCCTCTGGGATTGTTTGCCTAAAGAAATCAGATCTACTGCCAATAACAAAATCATTTTCAAAAACCTTGCTAAGAAATATGTAGCCAATTAACAAAGTGTATATCCATCTATACATGTAGTCTGTCTGATTATGTTTTGCCATAGTTTCCTCTGATCATTGGGTTCATACAGCTGCACTATGTTAGCCCGATCACTGTCGTATTATTTTATATTTAAGAGTTTTTTTCTGTTGTATTGTACTATTATCTATATTACTTTATGGTAAAGCTCATTTGTTATATACTCGATGTTGATTATAATTATCACTGAATGTCTGTATTATCGGTCTTGTACATTGTGTCATTTGTACATTACACTGTACAGTCAGTCTGTCTGATTGTTTTTGAAGTTGTCTGTATATTCTTCATTGTATGCGTGTTCAGGACCCCAGGAAGACTAGAGGCATATTTGTGTGCTTCTAATGTGGATCCTTAAATAAACTAAACTAAAGTTAAGCTCAGGGGTGATCGTGGAACAGCGTCCCCCTCCTGATCAGATCTGCCCCCAACACTGACTCGTTTAAGTCCAGGCTCAAAACCTACTTTTATTCATCAGCGTTTGAGTCACCCTCATGTGTGCCTGTGTGTGTTGCCTCTACATGTGTGAGCTGTGTTCCTGACAATTATGTCACACATATATGTTTTTTAGCATTTTATTTCCTTTGTACAGCACTTTAGTCAACGTGAGTTGTTTTTAAATGTGCGTTACAAATAAATTTGAGTTGAGTTGAGTTAAAACCAGCCACCGGCCATTTGACCAGCTGAGTGTCAGGTGACATCATCAGCCGACTTGAGTCGAGCTCAGACCGGCCAGTTCACACCGCTGACACTTTTCTCTGCAACTGTTTCAACTCATCACCAATCTTTGCTCTGAAGTGGCCTTTATGTTGGAGAGATGGCCGACATCTTTACAGCTGATAAACAACACTACAGGGAAGAGGAAAACTATGGAGCTTCGTTTATAGGGTGAAGTGTCCCTTTAACATTTAGAATAAACACACATTTGTTCTGCTCAGATTTATTGATCTGCAGAACAACCTAACTGATTGATTCATGTTCACTGTAAACCCCCAGTCCGTCCCTGACACAATATTTTAAAGTCACACAGACAGAGTTCCACAAAATTAAAGAATGGTTGTAAAATGTGGACTCATTGTTTTATGTTCATATGACAGAATGAAACGCTCAAACAGCAACAAAGAATTAACTGACATACACTTCCTGTCAGACAAGGATCATGTGACACATTTATTTTGTGACTTTTATGTTACTGTGTTGAACTAAACTAAAAGTTTTGAGTCTGAGCTGTTTCCAAAATAAAAATGAGGCAGCAGCTCAGTGATTATCATATCAGACAGTATGTCTCAGTGTGTCTGTCTCTGGACACTTCATATATCAAATGTCATATGTCATATATATACTTCATATATCAAAGCTTATTTACCCTCTGTCTCTGATCTCAGGTTTATTTGACTCTGTTTTAGTCACTGTGAATCACTGAGCTGCTCTGTTTCTGACACCAGTTTATTTGTGTGTGATTTATGTGAAGGAGCTGCTGAAACGCTGCGAACGCCAAAATCTTTATCTGAACCTGTGTGAGTGTGTGTGTGTGTGTGTGTGTGTGTGTGTGTGTGTGTGTGTGTTAGTCCAGGAGTCAGGACTGATGCCAGTGTCACAGCAGCTAGAAACTCACCACTTACACTGACACACCTGAAACAAACACCTGTCTGGACTGAAGCCTCAGCCAATCACAAACCACACACACACACACACACTGTTTCAGAGAGAGTACATGGGAGTGTGTGTGACCTTTCCTCACAGTTCTTTTATTACACACACACACACACACACACACACACACACTGACTATGTAACCTTAAATGACTCTGACTCTAATTACAAAGCCAGTGGGAGCTGCAGATCTGAGCCAATCACAGGGCAGCCGAGGAGAAACATGAGACGTTATCTGCTTCAACACTACAATACTCCTTAGTTACTCCTCAGTTACTCCTCTTCATGTTGATTAATTCAGCCTGTGTTATTTCTTCTCGTCTGTTGCAGCTGAGTTCCTAGAAGGACACCAAACATTCTCTGAACTCTGAACACACACTGAGGGGAACTCACATGTTCTGCTCCGTCAGCAAAACCACAGAGACGAAACAAAGAACAGATAAAGGAACAGTTAAGGGAACAGTTAAATGAACAGATAAAGGAACAGATAAAGGAACAGTTAGAGGAACAGTTTGAGGAACAGTTAAAGGAACAGTTAGAGGAACAGATAAAGGAACAGATAAAGGAACAGTTCGAGGAACAGATAAAGGAACAGTTAGAGGAACAGTAAAGGAGCAGTTCGAGGAACAGTAAAGGAACAGTTCAAGGAACAGTAAAGGAACAGATAAAGGAACAGTAAAGGAACAGTTAAAGGAACAGTTAGAGGAACAGTAAAGGAACAGTTCAAGGAACAGTAAAGGAACAGATAAAGGAACAGTAAAGGAACAGTTAAAGGAACAGTTAGAGGAACAGTAAAGGAACAGTTCAAGGAACAGTAAAGGAACAGATAAAGGAACAGTAAAGGAACAGTTAAAGGAACAGTTAGAGGAACAGTAAAGGAACAGTTCAAGGAACAGTAAAGGAACAGATAAAGGAACAGTAAAGGAACAGTTAAAGGAACAGTTAGAGGAACAGTAAAGGAACAGTTCAAGGAACAGTAAAGGAACAGATAAAGGAACAGTAAAGGAACAGTTAAAGGAACAGTTAGAGGAACAGTAAAGGAACAGTTCGAGGAACAGATAAAGGAACAGTTCGAGGAACAGTAAAGGAACAGTTCGAGGAACAGCTAAAGGAACAGTTCGAGGAACAGTAAAGGAACAGTTCGAGGAACAGCTAAAGGAACAGTTCGAGGAACACTGATCTAACCCTGAGAACTTGTTGGTCTGTCTTTACCTTTGTGTCCCAGCTTGGCCTTGGTGTCGAGCAGCGCCTGTTGGATCTGCTGTGGTTGGGTGATGTCCACCTGGAGGAGGGTGAGGCGGGCGGAGCAGGTTCTCTGCAGCTCTCTGGCTCCGTCTCCCGACAGGTCCAGCACTGTGGCGAACACCTCAAAGCCCAGAGCGTCCAGACGCTTCGCTGACGCATTCCCAAAACCAGAGTCACATCCTGCGGGGACACAAGGAGACACGGGTCAGACAAATAGACAGAAAGACACAGACAGATAGACAGATGGACAGACAGACAGGAACATGTTGCTATAGTGACAGACAGAGATTAATATGCTGCAGCAGTCGTGATGAGACAGTGTTTCCATCAGTCTGACTGACTGACTGACTGATCCATAACCCCTTGGTGAGCATGAGGGATTCACCCCGCTGTGATTGCATCACTTCCTGTGCAGGCTGGCAGGAAACAGCAGCACATTGGCTCAGCGAGTTGAAGCTTAACCTCAGATCACATGGATCAGGTTTCCCCGATCGGCTTGGCGCCCAGCAGATGTTTGGATGTGCTGAAAACAGGCAGGTCTGGACAGAAACTGATCCGGCATCAGTCCTCAGCTTTGTCTCGTGAATCAATCAGCAGAAATGGAGATGAGGAAAAATACGGCTGAGGTCATTTAACACTTTAACATTTTATTGACACTGTGAGTGCTCGTCTGCAGTTTGATCACAGATTTGTCTTCAGGGGACACAAGGACGTCTCACTGAGAACGTCTCACTGAGAACATTTCACTGAGACAGCTCTGAAGACACTGATTGTTTTGTTAACAACTCAGCTGTCAGCTCAGAGTTTCTCTCTTCATTAATTATTTATTATAACTCAACTTTATTGAAGGAAATGATGATGATGATAATGATGATGATGATATCATGTTGAGAGGAGACTGTGTTCTGTCTCAGTTTGGGTTTTGTTTTCACAGTTCTCAGATTCTCGTCTGCCTCATGCTCATCTGTTGCCTCTGTCTCACAGCTCTGACTCTCTGCAGACACCTGAAGGCAGCAGGTCTCTGCTCTCTGACCGCTGTGATGATGTCACCGTCAAACACACAGCAGATCAGCTGCTCACATTTACAGCAACCAACATCAGACGGTAGTAAAATAACCACAGACCCCCCGCGCTGTTTGTGAGCACATCAAACGTCTCCTTCTGATGAATTACTTTACAGTTTCCTCAGGACATCAACACGTGTTGGAGACGGGACGCAATGGAAACAGTTTGGTCTGCTCCACCAGAAACTGTAAATCACTTCAAACTTCTCACTGAATCCCTCCATACGTTCACCATCTGACACATGAGGCAACAAACACCAGCTGCATGTCGTCTCTTTCTAAACCAGGCTGGAGCTCCACATGATGACATGATGACATAGGTCAGTGCAGGAGTGTCACAGTGTGGGGCTGATTATTCTCCAATAAGAGGGGAGGCCCTGACACGTCCAGAATAAATATTAATCAGTGATATAAGCAAATTACAATTTGCTAAATGATTCAGCTGAAAGACTCAACTTTGAATATAAAAACAGTGGAAGCTCTTTGAGGCCCCTCCCACCCCTTTAATTTGCAAATGGTTCGGTCCACCCTGCACCAGGTTTGTCTCTGAAGCTGAGTGAGTGATTCTGCTGCAGGAGACACGTATCCTCCCCCAGTGACGGACGTCAGGGCTCCAGAAAAGGAAAGAAAGAAACTGACTGTATCTAAAGATGTGTGAGGTCCGACTGTTGTCACTAACGTTTTCCTATGAAAAGCAGTGCACCCAAATTCATACATATGTTGAAAGGCTGTGATCATGTGACCAATGAGCTGACGGCAGTAAACAGGAAGCAGTCCTGAGCGCCTGTAAGGAGGCAGGTTGGGGTGGTGGATGGGACTTTCCCCTGGAGTCACGTGATCAGATCTGTGTGAGTCATGTTAAGGTTCGTCCTCACCGTGTTTCTGTTCCTAAAGCTAACCTCTGGAACTTTACAGTAATCATGTAACTGCACGTTAAGGACGTGACGTCATTTGTCAGGTGCAGATTCGTAAGATATCATATGAACTGTTGTATAAGAATGTGCTGGAGGGAGACATGGATCAAGAGAGGAAAGGCAGGGGCCCCACAGAGACAACCTATGCACAGGGCCCAGAATCTGGTGCTACGCCCCTGAGTAGATGTGCTACTGTGATGACAAACAGGAAGTGACAGAATTTGTTCAGGTTTAAAACTGAAGTTAAAAAAATCCACCCAGGTCTGAGACAGAGGGAAACACTCAGTGATGACGGGGGGAGCGCTGTGATTAACGGACTGATAGCAGAGATAATAAAACATTCTTCCTAATCCCACCACAGGTGCATCATGGGAGCCTGTCCATGAGGAAACGACTGAGAGTCTGTACAGCCTGTATCTTCCAGTGTATCATCAGGACGGATAATAAAACATGGCCTGGTGTCAGCTCAGGTCTCAACCTCAGCGGGGGCAGGAGGGCTGAGCTCGGCTCTGTTCACCACACAGCGCATGAATTTATGATGGTGGCACAGCTGCGTGCACGACAACATAACCAACCCTCACTGAGGGGTGACACGTTTCCTGTGTGAGCAGGTCACATCGACGACACCTGAGTGTTTTAAAGTGTGCCATCATATGTTCTGTCACAAACAGGCACCGTGGGGATCTGTCACGTACCCCGCAGCTCTCCCAGTTTCCCAGAAGTCCCAGCACCTACAACCTGATTCCTGGCGGTACTGGCTGTTCTGTTTGTTCTTTTGTGCGGCGGGTGTCTGAAAGAGCTCTGCTGGCGAGAGCGTGGAGGCGTTGGCACGCTGCTTCACTCCGTGTCCTTGGAGGATTTCCAGAGTCACGTCCTGAGAAGAAAAATAGAGCAAACGCTGGCTCCAGAAATAAATACCACCGCTCTACTCCACGCTACACAAACACAGTGTGCACCTGATCACACACACACGCACGCACGCACGCACGCACGCACAGTCAGGTTCAGGTTTCATGCTGTCGGCTCTCTTTACTCTCACACTCTAACTAAAGTGAAAGTTCTTCAGCTGATAACAACAGAGAGAAAATCAGCAGAGTTCAGCTCTGTTTTCAAGGAAGTAAATATTTTAGAGTTGAGATGTGTGTTTGGTTGTCAGTTCTGTTTGTGTGTGTGGAGACGTGTGTTTCGTTGTGAGCGGTGTCTTGTTGTGAGTGTGTGTGTGTGGAGACGTGTGTTTGGTTGTGAGCTCTGTGTGTGTGTGGAGGTGTGTGTTTGGTTGTGAGCGGCGTCTTGTTGTGAGTGTGTGCAGGTCAGATCAGAACTGCAGCATGTTTCATATGTTACTGTGTACAGACCACACGCTGTCCCACATTCTTCATCCTGTCCGACCTCACAGCGAGCCTCCGTTTCTGCTTTGAGGCCGATGTCTCTCTCAGAGAGACTCAGCCGGAGCCGCTGCCTCTCTGACAGATGAACGCTAACTCCACCCGGCCGGAGGGCCCCTATAATCTCTGGAACATCCCCAGTGTAAACGAAGCGTTGAAGCAGAAGATTCATCTCCATAAAACAGACAGTTTGGAGTTGTTATCGCTGCAGGAGACGGATTGGGCTCCGAGGAGGAGCAGCGTTACGAAACTGGCTCCAAGGGGCCCCTCGGATGAAGAAATAAACGGGGATGTGTGCAGAGACAGACGAGCACTGAGAGGTCAAAACACACATCTGTCTCTGGGCGGAGGCCTCAACATCCTCCACATCTGCACACAGCCGCTCCACCTTCAGAGTCTATGATCCACAGGTTCACAGTCTGCACAGAGAGATCACTGCTAACTGTTCAGAGATCAGATCAGAGTCCTGCCCGATGGGTGACCTGCACACAGCTGTGTAACAGGTAAAAATATGTATTTATATATAAACTGATGGTAAAACTGAGCTCCAGTCGGGCAGCAGGAGAGAACAACTATCTGTTTTTAATCTGTCATAATAAAGTGCAGTAAAAAGATGTGCAGTATGTGTGTAATATTTTGACACCAGTGTAACCTTTGACCCCGTGGTCACACTGGTCACTGACGTGGAGGACTCCAGCCATGAAACTTTGCAGCCCGAGGATGAGGTGGCAGCCTACATGGAGTTCAGGTCTTTTGGAGGTTTGATGGTGGTGGAAGGGGCATGCTAACATGTTTCCTAACCTGGCAGTGATTGAATGTTTTCACAGACACATGACAAGAACCAACCATCACGTACAACCTGCGGCTGTGTGACAGGAAATAACTCTCCACAGCAGCAGATGGCTGTCGTCTGTGTTCATCATTCAGAAAGAGAAACGGAGAACGACAGGATGGATTCATGATGCTAGTTAGCCAGTTAGCTCATTAACAACCTGATGCTTAAAGAATAAATGATATTTCCTGTGAGCCAAAGAACACAAACAGTCACAAACTGTTTCTTCTACAGAGCTCAGTGGATAAAAGATAATCTGACCTAATGTAACAGGTTTGTTTTGGTCACACTCCATCTGGACTTTAGTCATCTGTTTCCTTTCATCACTTCTCTTCTGAGTTGATCTCACAATCAGAGGCCTTCCTGTCTCCTGTCTCTCCACTCTGTTGTCTCTCTAAAACAGATTCAACACGCTCAATCAGCTGAAGAAAACCTGACAACCAGGGCCGACGACACACCACAAAAACTATGGCGACAGACGCCAACTGATGAGCAGACAGTGAGCGCCCATCAGCTCGGTGTGTCAGGACACGAATGCTCGGAGACTCCAGGTGCAGTGAGCTGTGGAACGTGTGTGTGAGAGTGTCAGAAGACCTGGAACATCAGATAAATGAGAACTGAGTGATTTAAAGTTCAGAAATATTTTCTCGAGTGTTTTTATTTCATCACGTGTCTGTTCATCTGTCTGACGGACGAGAGCTGAACTCTGAGATACTGTATCTGCTGAGATTAGAGTCCATGTGACGATCCATCATCAGCTGTCTGTGAGCGCGATGTTAAAAGTTTAAATCAACAGTTGGAAGAACGTCTGTGTGTTTGAGGGTTCTGTTGTGGTTTGTACTCCATGTTTTATTAAAAGGCTTCAGAGAGGAACGATGAGAGCCATGTGCTGCGGCTGAGAGGTCAGGACGTTTCATTATACAGCACACAGATCCACCTGGAAGTCATCAGCACTCCGACAGCAGCACATGAAGAGCTAATTGCT